AAGAAAAGTGTACCTTCTAGAACTTTGTATCTTGAGAGAGGATTTATTATCATTTCAGGTCATTCTTGCTGAAGAGGTAGCAGCATCAAAACTTACCCTTTTTGATATCACAATACAAATATGTGATGCAGTGCAAGCAAGGGGTGAACAAGGTGGAGTTTATAAGGAGCTCTTATTGGTACTTTTGTTTTCTAACAGTTACTTATTTCTTCGTGACACACAATTTTCCAGATAAACACCATGGTGTGATTCTGTTGCCGGAGGGGCTGATAGAAAGCATTCTTGAAGTCTATGCACTGTTGAAGGTAATCATCTTTGGTTTCTCAGACAATTTTCTCTTGATCCATCGCACCTCCTGAAAATATGTATATTTTTACATGGATGGTCTAAACGTGCCATTTGTTCCGAATGTCCTATTGAGAGTTTAGGTGCTTTAAATTTGGGATGTTAATAGCGTACTTGTTTTGTATGATGGTCCTATCTGTGATATGCTTACTAACTGATAATTCTCCATCTCCCAGGAAATACATGGCTTGCTCCGACAAGGTGTTTCTGCTGACAATATCTCTGCTCAACTGTCACCTTGGGCATCTGCATTGTTTGAGTTCCTGCCTCCATTTATTAGAAAACAGGTAAATCATAATGAATTTCATTTTGTTAGATCATTCATATTGTTTTATCTATTTGAGTTATCTTGCTTACTCTGGAATGATACTGTATCAGCTCCTTCACCCAGAATCAGACGACTCCGCGCAGCTATCTCAGGTAATTGAATCAAATATGCTTGTTTAATAGTTTTATCTTGGCACAAGGTGTAATAACTCTTGGTTGATGTCGTTTTTTCTTGCTTGATAGATTGAGACAGAGAAACTCCTTGCTAATCTTGTTGAAGCAGAGATGAACAAGCGATTGGTATGGAGATTTAACATTTCCTGCTCAGTTCACTGGTTTATCTAGTGTTACATGGTAATTATATTTGAGAAGAATTTTCTAGTTGATTGTCATCTTTCTGCATCGCGTTGTGTCTGCAGAAAGAAGGATCATACAAGGGAAAGAAATTCAATGCAATATTTCATTTCTTTGGTTATCAAGCCCGAGGATCATTGCCATCAAAGTTCGATTGTGACTATGCCTATGTAAGTTTGATTTCTGATGTAATTTGAACCTTTTGATTTATATTGTTGAATCAATGTCTGGGGCTGGGGACAATTTTAGGAGTCACTTGCACCACTGGATATGAGAATGTTCCATTTTTGTCTGTTTAGTCAAGATTTCTCATTGAGATGTGAATTGAAACAAAAAAATCTCTCGTTTAATCTCACTTTTTTTAATCTACAATGCCTCTACCACAATTAAAAAGTAAAAATCAAACAATTATTATGTATTTTCGAAAAAAAAAACACTGTTAACCCACTCACATATTTCTAACTACCAATCAATATCCTATTATTTTTATATCACATTAACGATGTCAACATGACCAATCATTACATTTTTATTTCATATCCATTCACGATGTCAACGCCATCTCGCTTTCTCTAAAAACAACTATTTCCACTTTATCTCATTTTCCGAGCGAGAAAATTTTTCGGAAGTCTGACGTTCCATCGCAGCTTAAAGGCAACATGACCTTTGGGAGCTTTAGAAAAATTCATTTGATATTTCTCCATAAATTTTTCAATTTTGATTTCTCTTTGTTCACAGTTGGATTTAGTAGCCAGAATGTCAGAGATCTAAAAAGTCATGATGTGTTGACAGGTACTTGGTCATATTGGCTATCACATAATTGCTGCTGGTTTGAACGGTTATATGACAACAGTAACAAACTTGAAGAATCCCGTGACTAAGTGGCGCGCTGTGGTGCTGCCCATATAACTGAATGATTTATTATTTTTTTTTATCTTTTATCGCTTGTATATGGTCCATGACAATATCCTGCTGAGAAGCTCTCTAAAAAACATGTAAACGATGCAGTGACAATGCACAACTTCTTTTGTGGCTTTCAGGCTATGATGACTGTTAGGCGATATGGTCATGGCCCTGGGGCGGCTTCAACCATTGGAATTCCAGCTTTGTATCCAGCAACTGTTGATTTAAAGGGCAAGGCCTATGAGTATGTCTCACTTGTCTCTGTTACCTTTAATTATAAAATCTTTTAAAGGGCAAGGCCTATGAGTATGTCTCACTTGTCTCTGTTACCTTTAATTATAAAATCTTGGGAATAATCATCGAAATAGAGTATCCTCTCCTTTCTGAATAACTTATCCAGGATAAAGCATTAACTTGATCTTTTCGTTTAAGTAATTATGCCAGCGTTTTTTACTTCATTTGCAAGGTTATTGAGACAGAACGCAACCAAGTTTCTGATGGACGATGTGTATAGAAACCCAGGATTCCTTCAGTTTGATGGTCCCGGTGTTGATTCTAAGGCTGTGACCCTTTGCGTTGAAGATCAAGATTATATGGGACGAATCAAGAAATTGCAGGAGCATCTCGACAAGGTTATATTATGCTCTTTTCTCAACTATTAAGTTGAACTTGCATGTTTTCAAACGGAAACAAAATACAAATGTCCCCTTTAATTTGCATTTGATACATAGTTATTAATTCCCTGGCAAGCATCAATCAGTATTTGGAACTTATTCCTTTAGTTAGTTTGTTCAAATATTTGATTGTTGTTGAGATTGAATGAAGCAACAAAGGAAATCTGGAAAAGTAGAGAAGAAGAGAGAGGCGCAGCGTTTGAGAGAAAAGAAAAGAACGAGAAAATAAATGAATGAATTAGGGTTTGGTTACAATATGCAGCTATTTATTCTCTAACCTATTAACAACTTTAACTAAAGTTGTTGTACAGCAATTAACAACTTACTACAAGCTATTAACAGTAAAGTAAAGAACAGTTTTACAAATATGCTTTGACACTTTTAACAAGATAAAACAACTCTAATAATTGCTCTTTAAACTCTTGATTAATTCCAGGTGCGTGCAATAGTGAAACCAGGTTGCTCACAAGATGTTCTGAAAGGTGCTTTGAAATCCATGGCCTCCGTGACCGACATTCTTTCTGTCATGTCGTCGTCATCTTCCACCGGGAACGGTCCATGGTAAAAGGGAAAAAAGTAAGTATACATTGAGAATTGGATTTTTAGATGTTGTTTTGTTGATTTTTTTTTTAATCTATATTCTAAATTTAAGTTAGAAATGGTGTTGGCCATGTAATAATATTTTATATTATTCTATTATTGTGGACCATATAATTAGTTGGACCTAATTGAATTAATAATCAAACTTAATTAAGGTGAATATGTATTTAATAGATTATTAATGTTCTAATATTAAAGAGTCCAATTTGTGATGTTTGACTTGAACATTATGGTGTAGAATATTATTATTATTATTATTATTATTATTATTATTATTATTATTATTATTATTATTATTATTATTATTATTATTATTATTATTATTATTATTATTAGTTATCTTGGAGAATAAGTTAGGTTTTATATTTAGTAAGATATCTTGTCTTGTTGGACAAGTTAACATCTAGGGTTAGGAGCCTTATTTAAAGGGTTCTTCTGCTTTGTTATGAGATGGTTGTTTATGAATAAAAGATGAATTGATATTGTGAGTTTTGCGTGTTTTACGAGAGAATATCTCGTTTACTCGTTTCTTTCCCACTCGTACGCTTCCCTACATCAGTTGGTATCATAAGTCAGCACGATTCAAGATGCCGCCGCGGAAGGACGACATTGACGGGCGTGACGCCACCATTGAGTATCTGGGTCGACGAGCCACGGGCTTCGGCCGCCAGATCAATCAATTGGAACGTCGGGTTGAAGATCTTTCGACGGGGATCAAAGAAGTGCGTCTTATGATCAACAACTTTGTTGAGGATTTGCAAACGAACTTTGACGTCGGCAACCGGGGCGTGCACGGGGGAGTTCACGGAGGACGTGGAGGCCGTGGTCTAGGTGGGGCGCCCCGCTGGAGATCTCCACAACCACCATCCGGCGACGAAGACGGCGAGGAGACAGTCTCGGAGGTGAATTCCTTCGACGATTTTCCACCCCGCACGTCGAGGCTGACCCCTTCGCTGCATACGGCAGCCGTGACATGCGGCGGCGGGGCCCGGTATTTGTGGACGGCGACGATCAACGCGACGACATAAGCAAGTGCGACGAAGCTGCCATCGTCGACGGATATCGTGCCCGACACGATTGGGAATTTGATCGTGATTATGGTCGATGGGAGGGCCCGTTTCGTGTAGACATCCCTGAATTCGACGAAGAGCATGTTGACGGGCCATTGTATGATGGTCCGCCTATGTTTGATGAAGAGCCCGAAGAGGTCGAGAAGCGTCTTACCGGCAAAGTGGACGGTCTCTACGACGGTCCGCCTATTTTCGATGAGAATCTTTGGGGCCCGAGGTGACGCTTTCTGATTTTGGCTTGTGTAAGCCACTGGAAAAATATTCATTCATGTTACTAGAAGTTGCTGATTTTATCGCTCCGCATTCTAAAAATGAGCACCACGGGCATTTGGACACAGAAACTACGCTACAACAGTGGAAATGCAATCATCGCTCATTGGCATGTCGCAAGATAATAAATTGGAGACCATGTTTGAAATTCCCTGAAGAACCAAAAATGTCTTATGAGGCTAAAGATCGGATCCTCCATTTATTATACGAAGTTGAGCGATGTTCAACCTTCGTGTTCGACCGGGGAAAATGACGGGGTTTGCTACCATGAGTTCGACGCCACACGCCGACCACGGGAGCGCGTCGGCTTCGAGGACGAAGCCTTCCGAACCGGGGGAGAATGGTGTAGAATATTATTATTGTTATTATTATTATTATTATTATTATTATTATTATTATTATTATTATTATTATTATTATTATTATTATTATTATTATTATTAGTTATCTTGGAGAATAAGTTAGGTTTTATATTTAGTAAGATATCTTGTCTTGTTGGACAAGTTAACATCTAGGGTTAGGAGCCTTATTTAAAGGGTTCTTCTGCTTTGTTATGAGATGGTTGAATATGAATAAAAGATGAATTGATATTGTGAGTTTTGCGTGTTTTACGAGAGAGTGTCTCGTTTACTCGTTTATCTTTCCCACTCGTACGCTTCCCTACATCACATTAAGTTAGGTTAGAACATGGGAAATGGTAGTATGATTAGGATTCTAAGTCTCCTCCTCCTATATATACTACATACCCCTCTCTCCCATCTCATACGGAATAAAGTTCTCAACATCAAGGGCCTTATGAAAAGACGAGAGACGCGGGAGAGAGAAACAATTCATAGGCAAGGACGAATTCATCATTGAAGTTTACGAGAAAGATGATCGTAGATCAACATCATAGATGTACAGGGATGGACTATAAGCTGTATTCTTGTAAGTTCTATGTGCAATTTAATTTATGCAAAGATCCATATTCTATGAATTGATAGAATTACATGCCTAGAGTTTATTTAATTCCGCCTAATGGTTATGAATATACCCATTAAATCTTACATGTGGTATCAAAGAATGTGTTTTGCATGATTATGTTGTCGGCCTATTGTATCAGTTTTGTCCATTAAAGTATTCGGTGTTGATATGTCAATTAGAGTTTCATGGCCTTAAGTGTCTCGATTTGTCAATTATAGTATATAGTGTGTTGACGTGATCATATTGGCTAAAGGAGAATTGCAAACCGTAATTGCTTTTTGCTCTCATATAAATAATTGTTATCTATACTTATATTAAAGAGAAACCTATTTACTAAATATAGTAGGTAGAAAAGTCAACTTTAATTAATGAACTTCTAATTTTATCAAGTAGTAATTAATGCATTTATAATTTTAATCAAGTTTCCTATTTTACATATTGTTTTTAATCCTTCTTATCTTGACATAAAAAATTCCATAAAATAGGGTGAGCAAAAACAATTAAAATTCTGTTTCTAAAAACTACAAATCAATATTACGATTTTGAATAATACACTAACAAACTATAATATATTTTTATAAAACTTATAAAAAAACTATTAAAAAAACTTGGTTCGTATATTTGTATGGATATTTATATTTTTTTAATATTATCTTTGTGTTAAAAAAAACTATTTAACACTATTGTTTTTTATTATAGAACAAAATAATAATTAAATATTATATGATGAACAAGAATAAATAAAACTGTTACTTTTTCTTATATTAAGGGATAAATTTATATACTGAAATTAAAGTTTTATTAGTATAAATATTTTAGTGAGATAATATATTAATTATTTTACAAGCTAGCCCTAACATACTCATATTTAATATTCTGGCTAAAAAACAATGCTGGTTAAAATATATGAAAAAAAAAAACTTATAACCTTATTGTTTTTCAGACTTAACGTTGATTAAATGACGTAGAAAATAGATAATAACACTATTACTTTTAAGATTTAAACGAACAAGGCTGTTAAAATAACTCATTTAATATCTATGTTTCGTGCATCGCACGGGGATACGTACTAGTTGTATTGAAGGATAAACCGTATAATTATATGACTGTTCACTGTTGGCACTCAAGTTTTCATAGAATTTGAAAAAATGAATTATTGAATTATTTAATCCAATTAAGATTTTTTTTGCCAAAGTATGTTGTCATCATTAGTTGTATGCAATGCATCTGATGTGATCAGTACGTGATGCTACAATTGCAATTTGTGAATGCCTGTGGGACTTTCAAATTTTATTAATGGTGGCACGAGTACGATGTGCTCATGACATGAGTTCAAATCTTATAACAGGTTTTAGTTCTATTTTTATTTGTTTTGATATGAACTATATTACAGTTAATTCTACCAATGATAGAGATTAATGAAATAATCATCTCATAATATACGATCAAATAAAAATATTTTTCTAATTTTGTTATCCATGCACGAAAACTAGTTAGTCACCAAAGTTGCCTACTTTAATTTATGGAATAGATAATTAAAATTAGATAAAAGTATTAATTATTTTCTAATTATATTATCTATTTAAAGGAACTAGTTAGTCACCAAAGTGACCTAGTTCAACTTATGGATTAGGTAATTAAGTTAGATGAATATCGATTATTCAAATATAAAAGGATGCCTTTTTAATATCTCTCAAATTATATATTTGAATAATTGATGTCATGAGTGACAAACTAGGAGGACACTCAAAGGTGGGCCATGTGTGTATAATTTGTGACAATTAAAAGAGAAAATATAAGTAGAGTTAAGTCAATTCGTGCATTTGTCCAAAGACAACCTCTAATTGATCATAATTATATAATTTCTATTACAGATTAATATTTAAAAGAGAAGTTATACTTAAAGTGATGTTAATTAGCGTGTTTGTCCAAAGATAGCCGCTAGTTGACTCAAGTTTGTATAATCTCTATCAAGGATTAATATATAAAAGAAAAATTATAATTAAAGTTAGGTTAATTAGTGTGTTTGTCCAAAGGTAACCACTAATTAATCACAAGACCCTATAATTTCTATTAAAGATCTTTCCTCTTAGGCATCAATCAAGTATATTATATATTTAAGTATTTGCCCAAAGGTATATTTAAATATATAATTTAAAAGATTTCTGAATCCATTAATTTTTCTCAAAGATTAATTAAATAGCATGTATTAAAGTTTGCAGTGCTTAAATTTGGTTTTCCGTCAAGTATTATTATTCAAAAATTCAATGGGCTGAACTTCAATGAATGGTCTGAGCATATCCATTTTAATCTAGGTGCACTGAAATTGGATATACTTTAATTACTGATGAAGCACCCACAACCATTAATGATGAGAACTCCAAAGTAGAGGTAACTCTTCGTAGGGTATGTGAGTGATCAAATAGGTTGTGTTTGAATTTTATGAAATTAATCATGGCGGATAACATTAAGGCTAATAATTCAAAAGGATTCCTAAATAAAAATCAAGGAACTATCTCCATTTAAAATTGTGGAAAAAGTATATTGTGGAAAGTTTCATCATCGAACTCACCACTATAAAAGTTCAACTAATTATGTTCCATCCATGGTATCGTGTCTAACATGTTCAACATATAAGCTAAACTTACAAACATGAAAATGA